TGCGCACGCGCGGGGCCGCTCACCTCCGCTGCAGGGCGCGTGGGACCCGCAGGTCCCCCTGGCCCTGATCACGGGACACGCGTGGGGCTGGCAATGGGGGGCTGCCGCTCGTAGGACCAGGGAGCCCGTCCCCACGGGGCGCGAGACCGGGAAACGCCCCTCCTCGCCCCCAACCCGGCCCGCCGGACACTCGTGGGGCTCTGGGGGAAAGCCCCCAGTGGGCGCGTGGGGCTGGGAAACCCCCCTCTTCCCTCTGCCCCCCGTGACAGGACACGCGTGGGGTCCCGGCACGGGTGGGGCCAGGGATCCCCCCAGGGTGTGTGGCACCCCTTTCTCCCCATGCGTCCCTGTTCAGGTCCAAGGGACACTCGTGGGGCTAGGACCCCCTCTCTCCCCCCACCAGCATGGGGCACATGGAGCCAGGGATCCCCCCACACCCACACCCACACCCCATCCAGCTGTGGGGGGGGATCCTTCTTCCGACCCTGCTCCCCCTCCCCCTCCCCGTGGGAACGGGACCGGTGGCGCGTGGGGGGCGGTGCCTGGAGCTGGGAAGGGACCTAGGTGTCCTGGCATGGGGCCCGGAGGACCCAGGTATCCTGCCCCCCCTCTTTGTCCTGGGTTGGGGGTTGGGGTCCCCTCCTGCCCTGTGTCCCACATGGGCTTGGGGCGGGGGGTAGGGAGCTCTGCAGTGGGACATTGCCCCCATGCGTGACCTATTTACCCCCTCCCCACACAGGATACCTGCAGGCATGCCGGGCCCTGATGATCGCGGCGCTGGTGCTGGGCTTCTTGGGGCTGGCAGCCGGCGCCGTGGGACTGCCCTGCACACGTGTGGCTGAGGGCAGCCCTGGCTTCAAGGCCCGGATGGCAGTGGCTGCCGGGGCCCTGCTGCTGCTGGCTGGTGAGCATGGGCACAGGGGGCACACGGTCGGGGGGGGGCAGGGAGACCCCTCATGCCAGGGGGAAGGTCACAGTCATGGGGCATGACCTACGGGGGGAATCACGGCCACGGAGGACACCCCATATAGGGGAAGAGACCACAGGGTACGCTCCATGTGCATGGGGGTCACAGTCCCAGGGGGCATTCCACAGGGGACATCCTATGATGACCCATGGCGGGGATCATGGCCGCAGGGGACACCCCACATGCCGGAGGGTACACAGTCACGAGGGACAGGGCCACGGGGGACATCCCACAATGACCCATGGGAGGAATCACAGCCACAGGGGCCTCCCCACATGGGAGACAGCCCACGGGTACACTTCATGTGCAAGGGGGTGAGGATCCCAGGGGCGTTCTATGGGGGACATCCCATGATGACCCATAGGGGGAATCACAGCCATGGGGGCACCCCACATGCAGGAGGGTACATGCTCCCAAGGGACAGGGCCAAATCAGTCACAGGGAACAGGCCATGGGGGACACCCTACATGTGGAGGGGAGATGCAGACACGGGGCATTCCCTGGGGAGACCTCCCATGCAGGGGAATAGTGCCTTAGGGGGCATCCTATAAGGAGGGGAAGACCCCATGGAGGGGCATCACGGCCCCGGGGACACCCTGCACATGGTGGGTTGGGGCTGCAGGAAGACCTCCCATACCATGGGGGACATCCCATGAGAGGGCGGGGAAGACCCCATAGGGAGAATCAGGGCCATGGGGGACACCAACCCATGTAGGGGAGACCTCCTACAGGTCACAGGGGATATCCCACATGGTGGAGGCAGACCCCACAGGATTTATGGCCATGGGGGACACCCCACAGTGGTGGAAGGGTCTGGGGGCAGCCCACCCCACACCCACACTGCATGACAACCTTTTCCTGGCCCCCTGCAGGGCTGTGCGGCATGGTGGCACTGTCATGGTATGCTTTCAACATCACACGGGACTTCTTCGACCCGCTCTACCCCGGCACAAAGTGAGTCCCCATGGCAGTGGGGTGGAGGTCACGGGGTGGGGGGGGGTCAAGGGCTACCCCTCACCCAATGGTCTCATGCGTGTCCTGCCCCTGTAGGTATGAAATCGGGCCAGCGCTGTACCTGGGCTGGAGTGGGGCCCTGCTGGCAATGGTAGGGGGTGGCTGCCTGCTGGGCTCCTGCCGGGCTGCCCATGGCCCCCAGGACAAGAGGTAAAGCAGGGGTGAGGCTGGGGGGGAAGAGGTTTGGGTGGGGAGTCACACTTGGCACTGACCACTGATCCTCCTTGCCCTGCAGCTACAGCTACAGCTACCATCATGGTGCCCCTGCACCTGCAACAGGTGCTTCTGCTGCCAGCAGCATGGGGCGATACGGCAAGAACGCCTACGTCTGATGGGGAGGCATGTGGGGGCCCGTCTGCGCCCACGGGCTGCCCCTGCCATGGCCCTGATCCTTGCAGAAGCTGGAGGGGTGGGTGGGAAGGGGCATCATGCCTGGGGGAGCTGGCACACACCTGTGAGGACGTGTGCCTGGATGTATGAGTGCGCGTGTGTGTGTGCATGGACATGTGTATATATATGTGCCAGCATGAATGCATGTGCATGCTTGTGCACACACGTGAGGGCATGTGACTGCATGCTTGCATGTACATGTGAGTATATGCAAGCGTATGTGCTAGTGTGAATGCATCTGAATGCATGCTTGTGTGCACGTGTGCAAGGGCATGTGACTGCATGCTTGTATGCATGTGTAGACGTGTATGTGTGCTGGTGTGAATGCATGCAAGTACATGCTTGCGTGCACACGTGCGAGGGCATGTGACTGCATGCTTGCTGTGCACCAGTATGTACACAGGCACACGTGTGTGTGCTGGTGTGAATGCGTACAAGTGCATGCTTGTGTGCACATGCAAGGGCCTGCATGTATGGGTGTATGCCTGTGGGTATACCCGAGTGCATGTGCGTGCACACATGCCTGTGCAGGAGTGCATGCATGGTTGTGTACACACAAGTGAATGGGTGAGCACGCAAGTACCCACATTGCTAGTGCATGCATGTGCAAGCACATGGGCACCTGCATATGGCTACATGTGCACATACCTGTGAGTGCCTGTATGTGGCTTTGGGGCTGTGTGCCAATGCCTGTGTGTTCTCATGCCCCGCAGCCTGCCCCCTGCCCCAGGGGTGCTCTGTGGAGCAGAGTGTGTAGGCGGGTGGTCTCTGCATCTCCCCTCCCTCCAGCAGGTGACACGAACCTGACCCTGGAAGGGGGGGCTTGTGCCAGGTGCCACTGGCCTGGAGTTTTGTACAAAATAAAAGTTTTATTTTAGTGGAGATGTGGGGACCAAGCTCTATGTGCATGTGTGTGGGGGAGGAAGCAGCTAGCATCACCTCACAAAGACCCTCCCCACAACTCCTTCCTACCACGTTTGACTCCTGGGGCAGCCCTTTGGCTCTGGTCTAGGGTCCACGTGGCATCCTGGCTCTGGGAGGGTAACTGGCCTTCTTCGTGCTTGTGTACTCCAAGGCCCGGACGACCTCTTGGAGAAAGGCACTTGGTGGTACAGAGCTTGCGGCTTGGCACAGTGGGGAAGGAGACAGGCAGTGCCCCATGGCCAGTGGTCTGCCCCCAGCACTATCTGGACTCCGGGGGAGGACGTGGGCTAGGCCACAGAGGACAGAGGAAAAACTCCCAGGCCAGGGGGCAGAGTTAAAGCCCCTGCGGGCAGCCCTAGGGACGCTTCTACCACCCCACAAACCAGCAGAGCCGAGAACCCAGAGTCCAAAGTGTATCTACAAAAGAACCAGGGGGGAAGCTGAGTTGAGCTACCCCCTGGGGCAGTATCGAAGAGCAGGGGGAGAAAGCACAGCCTGAGGTGGGGAGAGCTCCACACAGGTCCTCAGCCCCCCACTCCTGGGGTGACGGATGGGGGAATGCCACCAGGGTCTCCTTGGAGGCTGGTGAGGAGCCAAGGTGCCTTTTCCAGTCATCCCCCGCTGCCCAGCTTGGAGACTGGAAGGGGTTGGGGGTAGGTGGGGCAACCAGCACCCCGTTCTCCACACGTGCAGCAGGGCAGTGGCAGCAGGAGATGTCAGGGGAAGACAGCAGGGCCCGGGACAGTATTTGGGGGCTGATTAGGAAACAGGAGCCCCCATGGCAGGCAGCGACCCCTTCCACTGCTGGATGTTGCCATGGCCCCCTCCAGACGTTCAATAGCGGCCAGTCGCCCCCTGGCACTTCTCCAACATCAACCGGTGGGACCTCTCTCCTCTAAGTTTGAGATCCTAGGGTACTGGGAGAGGCTGTCGGCCTCCACCCAAACCTCCTTGGTGCAGTGAAGCCTCCGACTCTTTCTGTGTCCCAGCCAAGCGCAACAGCTGGTGCCCCATGACAGGCAGGAATATGGCAAAGAACATCTGACACGTGGATGGAGACAGGGAGCGTGTGGTTGCCTCCTGTCCCGCTCTCTCTCTCCCCCATGTCACCGTGGCGTGGGGTGGGGCAGGGCCCATGGGCCCTGGAGTTAGTTGAAATGAAATTTGAAGTGGAAGTTGCCAGAGCCAAAGGGATTAAATTCAAAAGGCCACTGGTGTGCATGGCCCCCACCTCCCTGTTGGTTCTCGGGGTCCAGGGGGTCCTCGCCGGAGTCGAACTTCTGCCGCATCTCTGTGAGGAGAAGGGGAGGTGAGGGGGGGATGCACTGAGAGTCGAGCCAGGCCCCAGCCAGCCCAGCACCCGTCTGACCTGCCTATAAATGCTTTCTGAAGGGCCCTCACATGCTGCAGCCAGCCACGTGGCTCCCAAATACTCCCTCCCCACCCTGTGATGCGCCCCTGGCGCAGCTGAAGAATAAGGCGCTTCTCGTGTCCCTCACCCCCTGCTTGGTACCTCCCATTACCCCTTTCCTCCAAGCACATGTCCCAGCCCTGGGCCAAGCTCTTGGATTCGGTGCACGGGGGTGAAGCCCCAGCCTTGAATTCCCTGGGGGGTGGAAAAGAAGGGCCTGGGGCTGCTTTCCTGCAGTGACCCCTGGGTCTCGTGCGGCAAGACAGGCCACGATCAGTCCCTGCTGCCTTACTCTTCCCCCCGCAAGTGTGCTTTTCCACAGGGAATGGGCCTGGCCTTGTTAGCCTCTGCTCACAGGGAAGCCCCAGCTTGGGACACAGCCTACACCCGTATCTATGGAGGAAGAAGAACATCTGAAGGCGTGGGCTGTGTCATCCAGAGGGAATATGGGTGCAGGGCTGTGCTACAAGGCCAGGAGCCCATGTGGGTCTTGTCCTGGTTGGTCTATGCTCCTAAGGACTGTGGCCCAGCCTGGCATGCCACAGCATCAAGAATTCCCCACCTCTAGGACAGGTAATAGGAAGGGACTGGGGGCTGTGCCAGTGGTGAGGATGCCTAGGTTCTGGGTAAGTCTCTTCCCGTCTCTGGGCCCTGCTCACATGCTGCTGTCTAGGCTCAGTGAATGTCACTGGGTGCTATGGGTGCATGACACCGCCCGCCCCCCACCCGGTATCACTGTACCTGGGTCTGTCAGCACCTCCTTGGCGGCTGCAATGTCGATGAACTTCTTCTCTGCCTCCTTCTTCTCCTCGTCCGACTGGAAGTTGTCCGGGTGCCACTGCTGTGCCAGCTTGCGGTAGGCCTTGATGATCTCCTGCTTGTTGGCGTTTCTATGGGGCCCCCGAGAAGATGCAGGGGTGATAGGATGCCCAGAGGCCAGCCCAGCCCCCCATTAGCTTAATGAGGAACCTATCGAGGACCAGGCACTTGCCTGCCCAGGCCTGGAGCAGAGCTGTGGCCACCAATAAGCCAGCTCAGCCAGCAACTTCCCATGACCCCTTTCATAGGCATAGCATAGTTGGGTGGACTGGGCCCTCAAGCTCCATCTCAGGGCAGAGGCAGGCCTCATCACAGCAGCCTGAACCTGTCCTGGTCTGATTTGTTCCTGATGCTCAGCTTTCCTCGTGTATGGCTGCCAGGCGAAGCCAGGGCTGAGGGCTGTCCCTGCAGAGACCCCAGACAAATGCCGTGCCCCCCGTAGCAGAAGCAGCCCATGCCCAATGCAGCCAGTTCTGGGGCATGGCAGGCTGAGGAGAACCCTGCACTGCTCTGACCCCGTGGAAAGGCGGAAGTGCTAACTCTGCACAATCTGCCAGGCGCTGCGGAGAGCTGAAAGGCCTCAGCACTGAGATTCTGCAGCTGGGGGCACTGGGGGAAAGGCTGTGCAGAGCTCAGTGGGGCCCCAGTGGAGCATGACAGGAGCTGAGTCACCTCCGCAGAGCCAGGAGGCGGTGGCGTCCCTTCTGCCAGCAACCTGGACCGTTGTGCCCAGCAAAGAGGGGGGGGTGGGGGGTGAAGAGGGAGGAATGCGGCAGTGTATGACGTGGGGCAGCGCCTGCATACCCACCTCCGGATACCCAGGATCTTGTAGTAGTCACGCTTCTTGGACTGTTTTAGCAGCTTCTGGGCTCTCTCCAGCCCCTCCTTCAGCTCCTCATTCTCCACGTCAAACTCCTTGGCCTCCTGGTAGTCATCCACAGCTACAAACATGCAAAACATGCGTTAGGCATGCATGCAGCGTGACTGTCAACCACTTTCCCAGCCAATGCAACCTCTTCAGAGGAGCAAACCATAGACTTCTAGAGCAGTGGGGCTGGAAGGGCGCTCCAAAGGTCACTTTGAGTCCAACCCCTTGCTTGAGGCAGGATCAGCCCTGTCCAGAGCATACCGGACAAACCCATTATCCAACCTCTGAGCAAAGCAACTGTCACCCCAGACACAGCACCAGGCATCAAATCTGAACCTGCCCCAGAGAGAGCAGGGGACTCCAGCCACCAACATCCTGCTTCTGTAAAAGGTGACCCTAACATCTAATTAGGGTCACCTAATTAAAATATTTTTTTTTCCCCCAACTACTCAGTTGGCCTAATATAAGATATCACATCTATTCAGAGAACCTTGTCACCCTAGTATCTATGAATCTATGCTCAAGAGAACCCAAGTAGAGACCTGATACAGAGGAATGCAAAACCTCCCCTCCCAGTCCATACCCATCTGCTCAAGGAGAAAATCCCTTCCGAACCTCAAATCGGACATCGGTCTGACCCTGAGTGGAGGAGAAACAGTCTAGCCAGGACCCTCCAGCTTGAGTGTTGGTCCAGCCCAGTTGCTATCCCCAGCCTGGGCTACAGCCAACACTCATTGCCTCTGAGGGAGACTTAAAAGACACCGTGACACATAGCAGAAGTAGGGGGGCTGCAACCAGCAAAGCCCAGAAGCCTGGGAAATTCCTATAGCCTATACCTACTATCACTACGCCTGGATCATCCCCGACCAGTGGCTGTGCAACCTTTTCTCGAACCCCTCCAGTGATGGAGAGCTCACAATGCCCCTGGCGTCTCCCACCGCCTCCCTGCTCTGCCAGTGAGGAATTTCCTCCCTGCAACTGGCTGCAAGTTCAATCCATGGGTCTGTGTCCTCCTCTCCACAGTAAGAGACAAAAGGAGCTTCCCTCCTCTTTTCGGCAGCCCTGTCGGGACTTGAAGGCTGCTCTCAAGCCGCAAGCTGTCTCCCGATACCCGGCCGTGTTGCTTCACCCCCATTTCCAGGCCAAGTCTCTCAGCCGGCCTTTTTTTCCCCATGATGCATGAAGGGAGGCAATGGTAGGGGTCCCCCTATCCTGGCTCTCCTTATAGGAAGAGCTCCTTGGAGCCTGTCACTGGGGCCAGGCCAAGGCCTGAGCCTGGAGGGACAGTGTCAGGGCCACGCTGGACACTGTCATCCTTGGCAGTGGCAAAACCAGAGCTAGAACCCAGGTGTCCTGACTCTCAGTCCCACATCTCCCTTCTCCTCCTAGACAAATCCAGGGGAGTCCCAATTCCAGCACTCTGATGCTTTGCAAAGGTGTCCTCTCCCAAGCACTGTGCTTAGACAGTTGCCAGGCCCCAGGCTGCCTTGGCAGGGCACCCCGAAGGCTCCCAGGGAGAGGGAGGGAGTCTGGGGGAAGACCCTGTGGTCCCACAGCTCTCCAGCCAGGCTTTCCCTGCCCATGCCTGCGCCCTACCTTTCTCAAACTCCTCATTTAGGATGTAGGCCTCAGCCCGATCACGCAGCACGAAGACATTGCGGGGGTCCCGCTGATGAGCTTCTGTGCACATGTCGATGGCTTCCCGGGGTCTCTTGCTCTGGGGGGAGGGAAGAGGAGAGTGGCAGGGCTGAGTCAGAGGTGGGGGAGGGCAGCTATGCACATACCTGGGGCCTGTTGGCTTGTCCCCGAGTAGATCCCACTGGCTGTTGGGGGCGGAATAAACCTCTGGGCCCTGTCAGTGCTTAGAGAACAGCCCCCTCTTTGCCTCTTGGTGAAACCCCTAGTTCCCAAGCACCTGGAGGGTTCCCCCCCTCCCCCCGTTCCATCTGCTGCAAAGTTGTAGGGTGTTTATCCTCTCCTACCAACAAGAAAAAAAACCTAGTGGGTCTGAGACAGCCCTGGTAACAGAGGTAGAGGATGCGTCCTGGCAGGGAATTTCTCTTGCCTTCCCGATGCCCCCGTGTAGACACTGCCTGGCCATACACCACCTGCATGATGATGGCTGCGCTGGCAGGGAGGGACTTTGTACTGCGCTCAGTGGGTCAATATGTAGGAAGCCATTTCCCTCCCTTTTGTTGCTACAGGGGTTTTATTTTGCTTTCCCCAGAGTCACTGGGCGCTGGCTGCAGCCCATCTGGGGACAGAATATGGGCTGTGCTGATACTCCTGTTGGGACTCAACCCTGGAGAGTCCTGGCTACAGTCTTGCCCCTCTGCTCAGGGTCAGACTGATGCTGCATTGGGGGCAGACTGGTTTGGTCTGCGAGAGCTTTTGCCTTCCTCTGCAGAGGAGGGCACAGCCTCTGCCTCAGGTCTCTCGAGGGCGTGGACCCGCCCTGAGCAGCAGCAGGGCACGGCCAGCACTTGGCCCCAGCTTCTCCTGGCCCAGAGCCCCCTGCTCTATATCCATTGGGCTTCAGAGCTGTGAACGAGGCTGGGGGGTGTGCCAGGACCAGGTCAGACAAGGATGTGCCTGGGAGGGTTTGGCTGGGGCTGGTCCTGCCCCGAGAAGGGGGTTGGATGAGATGCGACTCCCCCTCCCTCTCCCCCACCAAGCTGGTCTGTAATTCTTTCCTAGGCTCAGCCATTGCTTCTGCCCTGGTGTCAAGAGCCAGACTAAGAGTAGGCACCTTCGGACCAGAACAGCTGTAACTGGAGCATCACAGAGATCAGGGTCAGTGGGGATTCTCTTCTCCTTACCCCAGCCCAGCCTTTGCTCTGAGTTTCTGCCTCTCACAGGCTGTGGGGTACTGAGAGGGATGGAGGGCAAGAGCCTTGGGAGCTGTGTATCTTGAGAGAGGAAGATGCCCAGCAGGGACACACAACAGATGGAAGCAGAAGAGGTCAGGGACCTCACAGGCCTCACTGGTCTGACCCAGGGGTACAATCCTTCTGGCCCCAACCGGGCTGGAGAGATGCCCTCGAGTTTTCTATGCACACTCAGACATCCTGGACACTGCAGAAGCTAGAAAGAGCTTACAGTGAGCTGGGGAAAGCTCCCGATCCTACCAGGGCTGGACAGGAGCGAGAGAGGAGCAACCTCCTCTGGCCTCGGACATGCAGCAGCATGCTCCCTCCCAACACATGGCCGGTGCCAGGGGGAAAAAACCCCGGCCAAAAACCCCTGGGGAAGATGCCTACATGGAATGCAGGGTGTGTCAGTGCATACACTACATACAGTGGGTGCATGTGTGCATATGTGTGTGTTCACGTGTACCAGCTGCCTGCTCCATGCAAACGAGCGGCTATGCCACCTAGTGGCCCTGTGTTGTAAGAACATCTAGGTCCTGCATGGGGTTGCAGTCATGGTGCTGCGTGTGCAGACCCCGCACTGGGGGCAGGAAAATACCTCTGGGCTCCCACACAGATGTGGGAAATGCAGTCCCTGAGCCACCCCATACCAGGGGGAGAGCTTGTGGCTTCCTCAGGCAGCCAGTCCCTATGTTCCACTGTCCCCTTTGGCCCAGACAAGAAGGTGTCAGGGCCGAGGGAAGACAGTAGGAGAGGAGGGAGCAGCCTGGCTCACCTTGGAGAGACAGTGACAGATCCGGACCTTGGCTTTGGTGGTGTAGACCTCCACGCTGGGCTCAGTTTTCATAGCTGCCTTGTACTTCTCTATGGCGTCTTCATACCTGTCGGCAGGGAAGCAGAGACGCATGTTGATAGAGGAGCTTTGAAATGGGGTGGGGAGGAGGCGCTGGCAGTGGCAGGACTGGGGGGGTTGATCAATGCCCAAAACAAGCCAGGTGTCAACCAGCCCAGGATGCTGGGGAATTGCACAAGAAAGTCCAGAGCTGCTGGAGATGGAAATGCCAAGGCTGGAGCATGTGAAGGGTCCTTGCGTACCAATGGGAGGCAAGGGCTGCACCCTGGGAAAGCAACACCAAAAGTGGAAGGATGCTCAAGTGTCAAAGAGACGCTGCTCCCCCCTGCCCCTGCCACTCCAGAAAAAGGTGCCAGGGGTGACACCCACCGCTGTGCCGTGACATGCTCCTCCGCAGACTCTAGCTGCTTGGACAGCTTCTTCACTTGCTTGTAGTGGGAGAAGCAGGCCTTGTCATCCTGGTCCAGCTTCAGGCACTCCCGCACCTGGCTGGGGGAGGGAGGGACAGGTCCCACATCACTGTAATGGCACAGCAGGGTGCCACAGCCATTTCGGAGCCAGAACGGCCCCCAGGAAGCCAACACTGGTCATGCACACAAGGGCAGCGGGGTTCTCCTGGCTGAGAGGCATTCCCTTGGGCCCCCCATGGAACTGGACTGAGGGATACAGAGGGGCAGGGAAGGGGTCCTCTTGTGCTCCCAGCACTGTTCTAGGTTGACTTGCCAGACTCCCACACCGGCTTTCCCCCCCTTGCAGCTCCCGACTCACGCCAAGGCCTCCTCGTGCTCGCCCAGGCGGTAGTAGAGGCGACTCAGCTTGAGGAAGGCAGCCCGGTTGTCACTGCGTAGCTTGGTGGTGGGCTTCAGGTCCAGGATGGCCTTGGTGGGGTCTCCCAGGTGCAGGTGGCACTCAGCCCGCAGCTCCTTCGCCTCAGGGTCCCACGGTGAGATCTGTGGTGGAGGACACCTGGCATAAGGATGACTGCCCCTCCTACCCCAGAGAACGAGACACACCTGGGGTGGGCAGGACGGGGGCGTGCTGCTCATGGGCCTCCTGGGAGCCACTACTGCCCTTGGGGAATGACCCCAAGGCCTGGCTGGAGAAGAGCAGCCAGACTAGACAATCCCCTGGCTGCTGCAGCAGCGCTGGAAGCAGCTTGGGGCAGGGGGTAGTAGACATCTGGCCCCTGCTCTGCCACCTTTGGAACAGGATCCTGGCACTCCCCAGCCTCCCTGCTCCATTCCATCTGCCCATCTCAGCCCACACCGGCTCCTGCGCCCATGTACTTTACAGACATTCCTGCCCCAGGCAGCATCTGGGTCATGACAGACCTATTCCCTTCTCCTGGCCCCCATCCACCAGGGCAGCAGCCATGGTTCTGCATCTGGCTGAGAGCAGCAATGATTCCAGGAGTTAAATTTTTTTGGGGGTGGGAAAGAGAGAGGAGGAGGAGGAGCTGCCAGGTTGTTGTCAGGGAGGGAGTACAGCTGCGGTGCCTTGTGGGGGCTGAAGCTTGATCCCTGTGGGCTGGGCTCCCTATTTAGTCTCATGCCACCACCTGGCAGGGGACTGGTGGGAGATAGCCTCCAACCAAGAGGCAAAGGCCACGAAGAAGTGGGGCCGGTAGAGCCAGGCAGCGCTCCACTCCCCAGTCTGGTGACTACCTCGATGGCATGTCCCAGGATGCCGATGGCTCCAGCGTAGTCCTTTCTCCGATAGGCTGCTTGGGCTTCCTGCATGGACACCTCAAGCTCGGTGGCTCGGGCCAGCTGGCTCTCAGCTTCCTTATGCCCAGGGTCGTTCCGCAGCTGCCAGGGGAGGTAAAGCAAGGGCTATCCCCCTCTGCCTCTCACTGCCCCCACAACTCCCTTGGTTGGGGTGGGGGGAAAGAAGCAGTGCTGGGGACAGGGGCCAAGTCCCAGGGGACCCAAAAGGGCAGCTCGACCCCTGTGGTGCTCACCACGGCCTCGAAGTCCTGCCGGGCCTCCTGCGTGTGGCCCTGCTTCAGAAGGATATTGCCGCGCTGCAGCCGAGCCTGGAGGGCAGAGGGGGCATGCTTTGGGGGTGGCAGCATCAGGCCACCCCTGGGCTCCCCACCTCCTTATGGGCCCCTCCCATTTGCTGTGGCAGGGACCGGGGGGGGCTACCCAGGCTGTGTCAGGAGTTGGCGGCAGAGAAGAGTAACAGCTTGGAGCTCCCCACTGTGGCTCAAGGGCCCCATGGGTAGCTGCTCAGTGCCAGGCAGGAGGGAGATGGGGCACCAGGCAGCTCACCTGCCCTAGGTCCTCAAAGGGGATAATGGGCTGGTGGGGAGGAAGGAGATGGACCAGGCTCTGAAGGACACTGGCTTGGGGTGTGGGAGCTCAGGTCCACATCCAACCCTGTCCCTGCCCACCCTGGCTAGGTGCCCTCCACCACTGCCCTGCTGCCCAGTCTCCGGACCCACAGGGAGCCCCAAGCCTCACACCAAGCACCTCATCCTAGCATAAAGGGCTGGGCGGGGGCAGTACTGGGCCTCTGGGGCCCAATCCCAGTGTGGGGGGCTAGGAGGGAGTGGTACCAGGCTCCTGAGACCCAGTCCTAGCAGGAGGGATTGGTACTAGCACTGGCAGCAGCAAAGACACCTGCAAGTCCAAGATAAAGCAGAGTGGAGGGATGTGGGGTCTCCCAGGTCCCTGGGGTTGCCCCAGGAAGGAATGTCCCCCTCATTGCTACACGGGTCTGGGGTTTTCTTTACTGCCCCAGGGTAGCGTTAATGTGGATGGTGCCCAGGCTGGGCCAGTGCCCCTGCTGGGACTTGACCCCTGAGGAACCTGGCTGGAGGGTCTTGCTCTTCCACTCGGGGTCAGCCTGATGCTGCGCTGGGGCCTGGAAGGGATTTTACCCTACGGTGAGACTGGTGCAGACGGGGGCGCCTTGCTTTGGTCTGCAGCAAAGGACACCATTTCTGCCTGGGGTTTCTCCAAGACATGGAAGCCCCCCCACAATCCTCCCCCCCGGCCCTCCACGCAGTAGGGCACCTGGGTTCAGTTTGGTGGTGGTGGGGGTGGACACCTGGGTTCTACCGGGGGG